ATGTTAATTACATTAGTTTTGATAGTGCAAAATCTTTTCAATTTCAACTAGTTGAAATTATCTCTTCTAACTTATGCAGTCACTTGCTTGATGAAGAATTCACCCCATGTAGCAAAGAACTTGAGCAAAAGTAGTCATCCATAAACTGGGGAATGACTGAAAAAATTATAGTATGTTAATATAGTGGAATATTGTATTTTAATAAATGAGGAAAGGGATCATTTTAGAGAAAGCTGGAAATACTTGTATGAATTGATGCAGAATGAACAGAGATAGGAAGAGTTGTATTTGGGAGCTTGACTGTACTTCTTAATACTTTGCCAACATGGCTCCACTTCCATCCCATTTCATTTACCACACATTTTAGTTTCAGTATTTTAAGCACACTAATACATTGAGACTTTCTGATAATCACTGCCCTCCCCCTTAACCCCCCCAAGGTATTGATGGAAACTTGAAAGAAAATAGACATGGATCACATAGCTGGAGTAAGTAAAGAAAAAGATTCAGGTATAAGACTGTCCATCTTCCTTCATTTGCTATAATTATTAACAAATAGTGAATATCCAAATAACATTTTATACTTTGATGGACTTAAACTAGTGTGAGTACATTTCTCTAAGCCTTCTTAACCATATCTTTCCAAATGTCTTCCATATAAGATCCACCCCGTGTACTGGAGTAGCCAGAAAGCAAGAGTTCAGAGTAGCCAGGATCAGGCTCACACATGATTTAGCAATCACCACTATAAAGGAGCAGAGAGCTTGGGACGTGATATTCCAGAAGGCAAAGGATATAGGTTTATAGCCAAGAATAACTTATCCAGCAAAGCTGAGTATAATTCTACAGGGGGGAAAATGGATCTTTAATGAAATAGAGAACTTCCAAGGTTTCCTGATGAAAAGACCAAAACAACTTAGAAACTGTGAAATTCAAACATAGGAGTCAAGAGAACTAAATACATGAATTATTATTTTTGTGTAGTCCTATTAAGTAACTCTTTAATAGATTTATAATAAATTTGTAAATCAGATTAGTATCATAATTTTTATTATATTGGTGCAGCCAAAGCATCAACAATGAATATTTCTCCAAGTATTCTTTTACTTCTGTAGATTCTATAGGCAATTTAACTCTTAATATTAACCCCAGATCTAAGTTATATATGTACAATCATATTAAACATATTAGAACAACCTTTTTAATCATGTAACCTAAGAATGGGAACTAAACCTGTGATTTCATTCATACAAGGACCCCTGCCTGGATGAGGAAACTTCTACTAATGTGCATCAGAAACTTCACTACAGCTTATAGTCTTGGAAGCTGTCTAGAGCACTAAGAAGTGATGAGACTAGCCCAGGGTCACATTGTAGTTCTCAGGGGACAGACTGAACCCAGGTCTTGGTAACTCTGAGGCCAGTTTTATTCATTGTGCCCTGCTGCCTCTCTTGTATAATCTGATAAGCAATTTGAATACAAAAGCTTGCATCAAAAATAATTAGAGGATAATAGAAAGAGGTACCTTTTATAAGAACGATTAGAAGAACTCAAGAGCTACAGATGATCATAAAAAGAGAATAGAAATGATTTTGATTTCATAAAATTAAGCTTTTGTTTAAACAAAATGTATAGCTAAATAAAAAGAGAAGCTGGCAAGTTAAAAAAAATCATATCAAATATCAGCACGTAAATAACTATATCTAAGATACATAGAGATATCTCCATATAAGACCAAGAGCCGTTTTCTTTTCTTTTTTTTTTTAAATTATAATTTCTTTTCTTTTTTTTTCTTTTTTCTTTTTTTTTTTGGTTCGGCAGTGGGGTTAAGTGAGTTGCCCAGGGTCACACGCCTAGGAAGTGTTAAGTGTCCGAGGTTGGATTTGAATTCAGGTCCTCCTGAATCCAGGGCTGATGCTCTATCCACTGCGCCACCTAGCTGCCCCCAAGAACCATTTTCTAATAGATAAGTCATGGCAGTAGAAAAGGAAGTTTTCAAAAGATAAAATGCAAAACATCAGATCAACATCTGTATGAAAGAATGCTGCAAGTCATCAACAATAAGAGAAATGTCAATTAAGACAACTGAAGTTTCACTTCATACCCATCAGATTGGCAAAGGTGAAAAAGACAAACATGGTAAGTGGCAGAAGGCCTATGGAAAGGCAGCCACACTAATGCACTTTGAGTGGATTAGTGATTTGGTCCATCAGTTCCAGAAAACTACATAGAACTATATGAGAAGTCTATAAATTCTACATACTCTTTGACTCAGCAATACAATTATTGGATATAAACCTTCAAGGAGGTGAAAGACAGATGCAACGTAGATTCCACGGTGGTTGTAGCAGCACTTTTTGTGGCAGTAAGAAACTAGACAAACAGTGTCTCTCATTTGGAGAAATTGAAGAAGAAATTGCACTGTGTAGGATTGTAATGGATCATTATTGTGCCATAAGAAATGACAAATGAAGAATTCAGAAGAATTTGGGAGGATTTATATAAAGTATTTCAGAGCCAAGAGAACAAAGTATAAGTTGACCATAATAATATGAATATAAACATTGAAATACATCAGAACTTTGACTAGTTGTGCCTCCAAATCTCAGCAGAAGTGTGCTAGTCTATAGGTGTGGAACAATATATGCATTGTTAGACAAAGCCAGGTCAATTTAATTTGCTTAACTGTTCTTATTTGCTCCCCCTGTGAAGTTCTCCCTTGTAAACAGTCGAAAGAAAGCAGTAGCAGTGCAGGTAAAAAAGCATATTTTAAAGGAAAGATTTAAATAATTAGCCAACATTTGTCAGTATAATAAAAATATTACTTAAATTAATTTATAGGCTTATGATTATACCAGTCACAATTCCAAGGGGTTATTTTATAGAACTAGACAAAATAGTAATATTTATTTAAAAGAACAAAAGGTCTAGAATATCAAGGGAAATAAATTTTAAAAATAAAAGCAAGTGAGGGGTGAGACTAGCATTTCTACCACTACCACCCGCCACCTTTTCAAACTGTATTGCAGAGCAGTTGTCATCCACATTATTTGGTGCTGGTTAAAAAATAGAAAATGTACAACAGTGAAACAGAAGAAACGTGTAAAACATAGTGGCAGTAACCATTGTATTCTAGTGTTCAGTAAACCCAAGAACATAAATATTTTGAGAAAGATTCCCTGTTCAGCAAAACCTTTGGAGAAAACTGGAAAATAATTTGGCAGAAAATAGCTTCACAATTGAAATATCACATGATAAAACAAATTAAAGGAGAAGCAGTGGCAAGGGAGAGAATTCTTAAAGGTAATCATAAAAGATCACAAAGAGAGAAATAGATTTCAGTTATATACATTTTAAGAGCTTGGAATGAACAAAATCATTCCAGCTATGTTTAAAAGTTGCCTAAGGGAAAAAAACAACCATTAGAGAATTGACAAAACCATATACAAATAAGATTGGTGGGCAGCTAGGTGGTGCAGTGGATAGAGCACCGGCCCTGAAGTCAGGAGGACCTGAGTTCAAATCTGGCCTCAGAACAAACACTTGACACTTACTAGCTGTGTGACCCTGGGTAAGCCACTCAACCCCAATTGCCAAAAAAAACAAACAAAAAAAAATAAGATTGGCATGGATGACAACAAAAATGACAAATGATGGAATTTACCGTAGAAAGTCAGGAATACTAAAGCCCTGTTATTGGAGCCATGAACTGAGCTAATCATTATAGAAAATATTTTTTTGTGGGGGGGGGGGGCTGCTAGGTGGCGCAGTAGATAGAGCTCCAGCCTTGTAGTCAGGAGGACCTGAGTTCAAATGTGACCTCAGACACTTGAAACTTACTGGGCAAGTCACTTAACCCCAATTGCCTCACCAAAAAAAAAGCAAAAACAAACAAAAAAAAGAAAATAAGTTGTATACTAGAAGAATTACTAATTGTACATGCCTGTTCCTTTACTGTACATGCCTCTACTTTACTGCTACTGGGAATATACCTCATGAAGACCAAAGATAGAGGGAAAGGTCCCATTGGTACCAAAACATGCCCAGCACCACTTCCTGTGATAGCAAATGGCTAGAAACAGAATAGGTGCCTGTCAGTTTGGAAGCAGCCAAATAGATTGTGGTATAGCAAAGTAATGGTATATTATTGTGCCAGAAGAAACAATAAACAAAAAAACAAACAAAGATATTGAGGAAAATTTAGAAAGGCTTGTATGAAGATGCAAAACAAAGAAAGCAGAATCAGAAGATTAACATAAATGGAATGATTGTAAATGAAAACAACACTGAGTTACAACTGAACTCAGAATAAAGGCAATGACTAAGACTAGGTATACAGATGTTGAAATATACCACCTTCTTGCTAGGGAAGGGTTTAGAAGGCTGTGGTTGCTGAACTTTCCTTATGATTTCAGAAATGGTTGCTGTGTTAATTGGTTTTGCTTAACTTCTTCTTTGTGGTAAGAGAGGGTTCTGTGGTACGGTGGATGCAGGAAATGTCTTTGACATAAAACAAAAGATATCAAAATTTATTTTTTAAAAATCCTTTTTATTATAACACAGTCTTTTTTGTTGATATCATCTGTCTTATCACCTAAATTATAATTCTGGTCCATCTATACAGATAATTTTGTTTTGAGTATTTTCTTCCTGTTCTCTGTTCCTGTTTTACTACCACCAGCAATCCTCTGTATTATTGGACTGTTTCTTTGATCAAGTTTGTAAAGGAAAAAAATACTCAGATCAGATCAGATTTTTCCATCCCACTGTTTATATTAGTTCAGGAAGTAATTTTTGGTGCTTGAAATTAACTTTCATTGATGATTATAATTTTAAGTATGTGCTATCCAAATAAAAATGCACAGAGTAATTCTAGTTATGGAATATATATTGTAAAGGCAGATTACTTTCTTTTAAATGTCATGTGGAAATGGAGAAATTTCTTTTTGCATATGTGAAAATAAATATTACCTGATCTTTCCTATATATTTCTGTTTCAGGTACCAGCAAGATGTGGGGTGACAGTCCGAGACAGTCTAAAGAAAGCACTGATGATGAGAGGCCTGATCCCAGAATGCTGTGCTGTGTACAGAAGACAGGATGGGTATGGCTTGTATGGAGTGTGTAGATCTTTGTGAAACTTCATTTCTCTCAAGGATTAAGCTCAATTTTAGAAGAAATTACCCAATTTGTTCTGAAATGGCTCCAAATAAATCTTCCTGAACCAGAAAAATACTTTTTCTTGTTCTATAGTCATAGAAGTGTAATTGTAGCTTGAGTTTCTTATAACTGTTTCACAGTTTCAGAGTAAACTAATTTGAAGTGTAGAACTTTTCTTTTCATTACAAACTTGTTCCATTAAAGTCTTACTCCAGTGCCTCATTGTAGTGTGAAGGCAACCCTGGATTTTACAAGACTATGCCACTGTATCACAAGCTCTGACAAATCCTCCCTCCCATGCTAGAAAGATTCTGAATGTAGACCCAGCTGTAAAATGTGAATCTTTGTTCCATGGGATTCTAAGTTCAGAGAGGTACATCACCAGAAGGCTGGCTACCAGGTGGTGACTATTTCTTTGGCCATAGCAACTCATGAAGACTAACTACTGAGGGAGAGAGTGTGGCATGAGTGTGATCTCTGTTGGTGCAGGAACATCAGCACTGAGGAAGTCACAGATCCTAGAGTACTAAAGTAAGTACTTACTATACTTAAAAAAAAAAATAGGGCCTCAGCTGTATCCAGACTATCAATGATTTTACCCAATACTTGTAAAAAAAAAACCAATTTTTTTTCAATTGAGCTCCCTGGTTTCTACTTAGCATTTTGTAAAGGCCTTAAATTAGTACATCGTATAAAATTCTCCTTTTGAGGACATCTTGTCACATGAGCATTCTTTTCTATGAATGGATAGAAAAATCCACATGTCTGATTTTTTGATCCCAGGAACAAGCCATTCTCTGCTGTTGCAGGTCTTGGCTGGAGCTGACTGGAAGAACAGAATGCATCTCTCTACCCTGCTGTTTGTCCAAGAGTGATGCATGTATTTGGGGTAAACTTAAAAATCAATTTATTGCCATTCAAATTTCTAACAGTGGAAGACTAGGGAGCCAAACCTCCCTCAATTATACCACTCTTCCCTCAGTAACCACTTTTCATATCTTCATTATGAGGCATATTGAAAGGATTTTCAGGTATGATAACCAAGAAAGACTCATGTCTACATTTTCCAGAGAGAAGAAGCCTATTGGCTGGGACACTGATATTTCCTGGCTTACTGGAGAAGAATTGCATGTAGAAGTTTTGGAGAATGTTCCCCTAACGACACACAATTTTGTATGTACCTTCTGATTTTTGAAATGGTTCAAATGTTCGCAGTCATGTATTTTGAGTTACTATGAATGGACTTCTAGGGGAGAGGGGAGAAAATAAGTAAGTAATGATACAGAGGATAACATTCTGTTTCAGGAGAAAAGCTTTAATTGCAATCATGTGATCATTTTTAAAAATTTGGCAGAAAAGATTGGATTACTTCCCCAGAGCATGACAGACAACTCTTCATGGTATAGGGCCCAGGGGTGAGGTGTGATGGAAACTCCATGAAGATGGCATAAATTACCATATAAAATTTTAAATCACCCTTAATGTAAGCTACTCACCTGAAGTCCAACACATGTTAAGCTCTGTACTTTCTGGATCAACAGCTCAGGATTTAGTTCTGCAGCTACTTCTTTCCACTGCTTCTTTAGAGTTTCTTAGTATTCCTCCTTCGTGATTTTTACCCGTCTACTGTTGGCTTGTTGAAGGGACCATTATATCCCAAAATGATGATCAAAAGGGAGGGGAGGGAAGGAGAAAGAAAGCATGCTGCTTTTGTGAAAGGTATTAGTATTTGAAGGGAAGCTAAGTTGAGATGGGCATCTTTAATGTATTTGTCATATTTGTATTTTGTGCTCAATATGTCTTTAATAACTTCTTTGCTACTTGTAAGTCACATTACTTCATGAACTAAGTATCGTGAAATGCTAATTGCTGGTTTTGCTTCTTGCAGTAATGCTTTTCTTCCTCTTCAGTTGCATGTACATAAACGTGCGTGTTCTGACACATGTAGTATATCCTCCCAACTTCCCTTTGAGCCTCTGGACATTTCTCTTTTTGAATGGCTTCTGCTTTTAGAAGATAATGGCATAAGATGCCAAAGTCTTATATGTAACCAAAAAATTAAGACTGTCCATCCTCATGTTAGGAGTAAAACATCTCCAATTAGAAATACCAAAGTCTAGGAAATAGCCCTCTGAAATAGAAAGGCAGAAACCTGGAGGAGAGCATTCGATAAGCCTAGGGCACACCCGGCTTTGGTGAATATCTTTCCCACAAAAATCTTGTAGTTGGGATTGATGGTCTTCGAGATGGAGCTGTTGTTCCTGCTATTCTTCCTATTCTTTCAAGCATTTTCCTATGAATTTGATGAGATGATCTCACCGTGCTTTTAGACTTCATTAAAACCTTTTTATAAAGCTGCCAATTCTATTGTACTACCTTACAGTGTAAATATCCTGTTATAACTGTCTTTTGACCTTTTAGTCACTAACCAGCACTTTCCAGATGGCATCTAAAATGGGTTCACCTTCTGCCAAATTCCACAAAATACCCTGTTATCCAGAGTCCTATGGAAGATGCCCCAAACTTAAAAGTTTGTATTTATACATGTCCTCAAAAAAGGGATACGTCAAAATAATTTGGGAAGAAAACATTTGAAAGAATATTTGGGGGGCAGCTAGGTGGCACAGTGCATAGAGGACCGACTCTGGATTCAGGAGGTCCTGAGTTCAAATCCGGCCTCAGACACATAACATCTACTAGCTGTGTGACCCTGGGCAAATCACTTAACCCTCATTGCCCAACCAAAAAAAAAAAAAAGAATATTCAGGTGTTGCTCTCTTAAACGAATGAATCAAATTTTGTGTTCAAGTATCAATTTGCTGGTGAAACAAATTCTCCTTGATAATTAAAATGTAGAGGAGTGGTTTATGAATTAATGTTAATTGTCCTGAACATTCATTGTCTCTAATTTGCCTATATGGTCGTTTGTTGTTAGTTATTGTTGTCTCCTTATTGCTTTATACAAAAAATACATTCCTCAGTCTTTTATCCTCTAAGCATATTAGCAGTCCTGATTTTCATTTGAAAATTGTGTGCTACTTTTAAAAATGTTTTTTGATTGATACTATTAAATATGTTTAAATCTTTATAGGATCCTTCTTTATGTAAAAGTTTTCATAGAATTTTTTAAAAATTAAAGATCTGCCTTTGAAAATGGCAGGGGAAACAAGAAGAAATATATCTAATTACTTGTGAAGTATTTGTCAGGTTTTCCAAAATCTTGTCTTTAATAGTGCTGGTATTTTATTTTTTAGGTACGGAAGACATTTTTCACCTTAGCATTCTGTGATTTTTGTCGAAAGTTGCTTTTCCAAGGTTTCCGCTGTCAGACATGTGGTTACAAATTTCACCAACGCTGTAGTACAGAGGTGCCACTGATGTGTGTTAATTATGACCAGCTTGAGTAAGTATTCTCTTAATAACTAATCTCTTCTGTTTATAGTTTTAGATTTCTGCTACATTGTACAGGTTTTCTTCATTTCAAATCATATGCGTATATGTTTAAAGTTAAACAAAGGAGTTTTTCAGCAACCATCCTTAGAAAAAGTGTTGTTGAAACAGTATGGTGTATCCAGACTGTCACATCCTAATTCTGATCCAGCTATCCAGTTAACACTTTGTATTTGGTATTCTTTTCCTAGAAGATAAAGAGTTTTAAGATTAAAAACTTTTCTCCAATAATATATTATAACGCATTGAGCCACTGGTTTTGACTAGTTTCAGTGGTAAGCTTTTTGATACCTGCTTCTCTGGTTCTATCATCTACTTTTGAAATTACTTTTTTTCCTTCCACATTGATTTAGAAGCAAAATTTATTAGTTATTTATTATATTTTTATAAAATATGCTTAAAGATATTTACAAAAAGCCTGTTCCTTGCTTCATAGTATATCTCATGAAAATTCCTTATACTACATTTTCCATTTGCATTTCACATTATGACTTTGTATCCTTTCCCTTGAAATCATTTGAACCAATAAAGTTAGAACTCTTTACTTTGACTAAATTATAATGTTTCTAACTTTAAAAATAATTACTTCATATTTTTGAGACTGGGTTAAACTTTAAAATATCTTTTATGGCTAACATTTTCCCTTTGAGGTAATTATTAAGGATTTCCATGTTTCTTTTTGTTCTAATTCTTTAACTGCCATGAGTATTTTTTCTGAATATGCAGGAATTTTTTCTGTATTGGCAGAAAAATAAATAGATTTTTGAGCTTTACTTTGAAATTGTGCTGTAAATTAAAAAGTTAATCCCATTAATTAAACAAAATGACAAGTAGTTGACTTTCTTTCAACATTTGCTTTTCAATATGGAATTTGGCCCTTTTTGCTGTTAACACAGTTGTATATTCTGGTATTTGAGACTTCTGGGTTTTGCACAAGTTAGGTTTGCTTTGTTTTATTTTTGTTTTTGCCTCACAGTTTGCTGTTTGTCTCCAAGTTCTTTGAACACCACCCAATACCGCAGGAGGAGGCCTCCTTAGGAGAGACCACCCTTACGTCGGGATCATCCCCTTCAGCACCCCCCTCAGATTCTATTGGGTATGATTTGACTACTGCTGTTCAGTGACATGCTATTTCACAATTGGTTTTTGTCCAGATTTTAGATGATCCTTTAAAACGTAGCTTTGAAGGGGCAGCTTGGTGGTGCAGTGGATAGAGCACAGGCCCTGAAGTCAGGAGGACCTGAGTTCAAATCCGGCCTCGGACCAAACACTTGACACATACTAGCTGTGTGACCTTGGGCACATCACTTAACCCCAATTGCCTCACTAAAAAAAAAATAATAATAAAAAGTAGCTTTGAATTGTTAACAGAATTAATTTTTCAAGCTGATTTCTTATTTTTATAATAAAGTATGTATTTATGTGCATTATGTTGAGTGAGATTAAAGCTGACATACTATGATTGTTTCAGGACCCTTCTCTCATTGATATGTTAATTAGAAAATATGGAGTAAATCCTTGATATGTGCTTTGTACTAGGGTAGTTTTTATGAGGAATGCCTACAAAGTGTAACACGATGGTCCTTGCCCTCAGGGAGGTTATAGTCTGTTTTAAGAAGGAAACATTAAGACATGAAAGAATGTTAAATAATCAGAGATCATATTAAGTGCCTAATTTGAGGGTAGAAACTATAAGTATTGTGAGTTTAAAAAAGAAGGAGATTATTGGGAGATGTTAGTCAGGGATATCTTCATTGAGGAGGAAAGATTTGAGCTGAGCCTTCAAGACTATGTGGGATCTAGATGGACCATGGGTTGGTTAGATCATTTCAGGTAAGAGAAACATTGTAATTAAATGTTCAGAGACATTGTGTGTGAGACGCTCTTGGGATAGTGTTAAGATTGCCTATTATGTTATATTCTTAAACTTAACTACATGCTAGAGACGTTGGTTTTGTGTATCTTCTCATTTGACCAAGCTTTTTACCTAACAGAGTATTATTGACAGACATTAATTCAGCACACATTTTTTTTAAGTTAGCTGCCTCATGAGGTGTCGGGTTGCTCTTCACTGGAGATCTTCAAGGAAAGGCTCATTTATAATTTTTCTCAAATATTTTGGAGAGAGGGATTCTTGTTCAAGTACTTGTTGGAATAATGGTCTCTGAGGTTCCTTCCAGTTGTCTGATGTAGGCAGACCTGTTGGAGTAGTCCAGGCAAGTCAAAAAGAGGGTCCTTATTCAGAAGTGGGAATGAAGAGGGTGCCAGAGAGGTTTGAACAAACCATAAATAGCCTTTAGTATTTAGATGCTGGATGTGAAGAAAAGGGAAAGTGTAATCATAATCCTGAGGAAATATGTAGTATCAATAGAGTACCAGATAGAAGTCAGAAGGAAAAGCAAATTTAGGTGAAAAGATAGTAATTTTTCAATGACTTCCCATGTTTACTCAATGTATACATACTTTGTAATACATTTATGTTCTTTCCCTACTTTTCTCTAATTGTCTTTTCTGGTTCCATGAATTAAGTTTAAACATAAGCAGTTATTAATTGTAAATATTTATTGAGTAGGTAATACAGTTGAATTTTACACTTGTTTTCTCTACTACTGCTTTGATTAGAGCTGCAACTAACAATTGCTTTCTGGATTGGTAATGTAATCCCCAACCTTTTCCATACTACTTCTTTTCTTTTCTGCAGTTTGTAGTTTTGACATAACTTCTCTTTTAATACCTTTATTAAAATAATACTTTCTGTGCTCACTATTGGAGGAATGTCATATATCCTTCTTCATAAAAGTCTAACAGTTTATATCATTCTTCTCAATTGAGCATTTAATACACAGAGTAACATGCCAGTATATAAGATTGAGTGGTATGCATCAATATGTATAAAGTTTTCTTTGGCATTTATGAAATATACCACACCAGGAATGAACTGTCAAATCTGATTCTTCTGAAGCAAAGCTGACAAGTGCTGTGATCTTTTGTTTTTATAGTTGTTTTCTAGTCACCTTTACAGAGTTTAAGAAATTAGAATCTTTTGCCAATAATTATCTTGATTTTGGTTATTTCACACATGGCAAATAAATCAATGGGATTTGAATAGTCAAGGGGGATAAATGTAATTTCTTCAGTGTTTAGTTTAAGAGGTAGTTAAGCCAATATATATTATTTGAACTTCCAATATTTTAATGTTCCTCTCCATGGGGGATATACTCTTAATTATCCTCCCAATCCATATTGTCTTATAGAATAATATATGTAAACCCATGCCTCAAATTTGAGTGGCTGTGTTGTTGAAAACATTTTTCATGTGCTGGTAACCAAAAGTTATTCCACACTAAATGATTTGTGGCCGGGAATCGATCACAGAGCCTTTGCACTAAGGTTCATGACAGTCAGTGATCATTGTGAGTGCAATTTCTGTCTATACAGAACATGTATACATGTATCTTGTGACTTGAAGACCCAGAAAGAAGGTCCAAATAACTGTACTATAGTACTGATTTCCCCTCTGAGATGTAGTTTTTGTTGTTAATTTTAAGAAACTTAAGTTTGTTTTCTTTTTTAAGCTTTTATTTAGTATTTTATTTTTCCTCAGTTATGTGTAAAAACAATTTTTAAATTCATTTTTAAAACTTTGAGTTCCAAATTCTCTCCCTTCCTCCCTCCTCATCCCATTCATTGAGAAGGCAAGCAATTCAGCATAGATTATACTCAAAACATATCTGTAATAGTCATGTTGTAAAAGAAAACATAGACAAGGGAAAAAAAACTCAAGAAAATAAAGTAAAAAAAGTGTGCTTCAATCTGTATTCAGACAGGAACTTTAGTTTCAAAATAACTATTAATTTTAATTGTCCTTTTAGATGACATGAATTAAATAATAGTAGCTGTTAGTATTAAATTAAGAAATAATAATAGCAGTGAGCAGTGCTGTGTGAATGCAGTGATACTCCACTTAAGTCCTTGTCTTGTACTCTTCATACCATCTGTACCTATTCCATTAGCTGATATCACCACTGGCACCTTGTCTTTAGAGACATTTACATTCATATCCCAGAACACCCCTGCATGTTCCCATTGAGGTTCGTTTTTGTGTGGCCATATGCATACCCCCAATTATTTCATATTTCTTTCTGAACTTCTTCAGTTCTCTTCTGTGCACCTGGAAAATGCTTCAGTGACCGCTATTTATTTTTTTAACACCCTATTGTTCTTCCCTGAATCCCCTTTCTCATACTAAAAAGAAAAATACAAATAACAAATAAATATCAAGCGAAATGAATCCACATGATGTCTGTGACCAAAACACGTCTCACTTTGCACCTTGGGTCCCTCACCTTACTGTCAAAAGGTGGGCATCATACTTCATCATCATAGTTCCTTTGGAGACGTGGTTGGAGAACCTACGTTAATTGGTGATCTTAAGTTTAGAGAATCTGCATTAATTGGTGACCTTAAATTTTTCAAACTTGTTTTTATTTACATTGTTGTTGTTGCTGTATAAATTGTTCTTCTGGTTCTGCTGCCTTCTCTCTTCATCATTTCAAGTTCCCAGTCCCTTTCATTTCTTCCTTAAGTTATCCTTTCTTGAAGTTATCTTTCTTTCTATGGCTCTTCTGAATCATCCATGAAGAGCATTTTTAAGCCTCATGTGATTCAACAAATCTGTGTTCAGTTACCTGTTACAACTAAGTCACTGTAATATCAGTTACAAATATCTTTTCATCATGGGCAGAACTTATCACAGAGCCCCTGGCCAGCTAAGTCCAACTGGTGCCTGAAAGAGAATCTACATCTTCTCACACTCTCACACACACACGGTTATTCCTACCTTTGCTTGAACACCTCCAGTGGAGGGGAACCCACTACCTCTAGAGGCAACCCATGCCACTTTTCTTTTTTTTTTCTTTTTCTTTTTTCTTTTTTTTTTTTAAGGCAGTTGGGGTTAAGTGACTTGCCCAGGGTCACACAGCTAGTAAGTGTCAAGTGTTTGGTCTGAGGCCGAATTTGAACTCAGATCCTCCTGACTCCAAGGCCGGTGGTCTATCCAGTGCACCACTGAGCTGAGCTGCCCCAACCCATGCCACTTTCAAATCACTGTAATTATTAGGAGGTTTTCTTGACATGAGGCTTAAATTTGCTGTTTTGCAATGTCTCTTTGTCTTTTCTATTTATTCCCTTTAGGAATCACCAGAAAAAGTCTATTCTCTTTTCTGCATGACAGCTTTCCAAGTACTTGGAAGACAGCATTTGCCTTTCCCCTAACCCTTCTCTTCTCTAGGCTGAATAGGTGCTGTGCCTTTCATTGATCCTCATGACTTGGATTCAAGGCCCTTGATGTTCTGATCGCTCTCCTCTAGGCGCGCGTGCAGAGAAGTGACTGTGATATTTCACAGGTAGTCAGACTAGCGTGAAGGGACTACCATCTCATTTAAGGAAAGCTATTCTGCTCTTTTTCAATTCCTTTTTAAATTGTGAACTTTTAAGGAAAAAAAAAATTTCCATACATAAGGGCACAAGTGGATTCTGTATGAAACCATGAATCTTCATTTTATACCACTTAATTTAACGTTTTAGTGACCCTCTTTTTTCAACCCCACCTCCCAGTCCAATCAGAAACCTAGAGAAAGAAAAAGAAAAGGGAAAACAAAAACAAAACCTTGTAACAAATAAGCATAGTGAAGCAAAACTACTACACAGTGATCATCTTCAAAAATACACGTCTCTTTCTGTACCTTCTGTCCTTAACCTCTCTGTCAAGAGGAGGATAACATGACCATCAAGGGCCCACTAACAATAGGGTTGATCATTGCAATGATTTTTGTGTCTTTCAAAGTTGTTTTTCTTCACAGTGTATAAATTGTTCTGATTCTACTCACTTCACTGTTCATCAGTTCCTACTACCTAGGATAGTCTGGAATCATTGCTGTCATTTCTTATGGCACAATAATATTCCATTTCGTTCCTATACCATAGCTTGTTTAATCATTCATTAGTTGCCTGTGTGGCAATCTCAGGCACACCCTTATATACTAGTTCTTTTTTTTTTCCCATTTTTTCCCATTTCCCATTTTAATCCCCTCCTTC